ATTAAAAAAATCACTCGCCACCTAAACAAAAGTGACGAATGAAATTTTAAATTTTTGCCACGTAGGTAAAAATGACGAATAGTAATTTATTATTAGGATTTTAATTATTTAAGAACACTAAATTTTATCATTTTTATTTGTTACAAAACTAAAAATTATCTTTAGATATTAGGATTTATGTTATTTATAAAACAAAAAATTATATTTTGATATTTAAAAAATATAAATTATCATTTGATGTTAATGGTTTTATGTAAATATATGATGATATGATACTTTCATACAAAATTTTAAAACTTATAATGCAAAAAAAAATTAAGAGATCACCAAAAAAATATTTATATACAAAATGTATATAAAAATTCGTGCATCGAACGCCACATAAGCAAAAGTAATATTTCGACCAATGAAAAATTAGATATATATATTAATTTAGAATTTTAATTTTCAATCGTCATTTAAGAAAAAAATTAACAAATTAAATTTGAGAATTGAAAACAAAAAATTAGTAATTTAATATTTAAATTATGAAAAAAAACAAAAATTATCAATTATATTATCTTTTACATTAGGATTTAAATTATTTTAACAAATAATTAGAAATTAAAAAATATATTTTGATTTAATGATTTTATCTAACTATGCGATAAATGAGATAATATTTATTTCAATTTATAAATTCAAGTTCTATATACGTAAAATTTGAATAAGAATAATTTAAAACTTAATAAAATATTTTACCTTAAATTAATGTTAAAATAATAGAATAGAAAATAAAAACAAAAAAATATTAAGAAATTACAAAAAAAATATGTAAAATGAAATATTTAAAAACCGTGCATCGCACGGGCTTAAATCTAGTATATATTAATAAAGTAGGCATTTTTCGGAAGCATTGGGAGCGCCACATAAGCGAAGGTATATTTTCGACCAATTAAAAAATAGATTTCTATTTTATTTTAGAATTAAAAAATTCACACGCCACTTAGATAAAAGTGACGAATTAGATCCGATATATCTCCAATTTTAATATAATGCCATGTAGATAATTATCTTAAATCATTAAAAAAAAAAAACTATCTTTCCACATTAAAGATTTTATCATAAAAGATCATATTTACAATTTTTTTAAATAATGTGATTTAAATATCATATGATAAATCTTCACCAAAAAGAGCCGTGCATATCATATGATTTAACTATCATATGATATTAAACACGGATAATTCTACTGTGTCATTCTTCAAAAAAGGACACCATAACATGCTGATGTGGCATGTTATGGTTGGTCAATTTTTCCTTTATTTTTATAAGTCAAAATGTATTATACATATATGTATAATTGAAAATACATATATTTTTCAATTTTTGTATAGAATACATAATCAGAGTATTTGAAAATTTATTTTTAATTTTTAAAATCATCCAAAAAATTAAATTATACAATCAAAATTTAGATAATCAAATATTCATCATCATTCTTAATTGTTTATCATCATTCTTCATTTGTGATCTTAATTAACGGAACTCAAACCGAAATTCCGACCAACGAACAAATCCTCCAAATATCGAATTTTTATTGGGTTTTCAAATCTTATTTTAATTCATATTTTTATTGGGTTTTCCAATATTCCGATCAACAACCCGGCGGCTCTTCGGCATTCACGGCAGCAACTCAAGGTTTTGACGAGTTTTGGGATCAATTTTGGCCTGGTCAATTTCAGGAAGGTTTCAGGCGACTTTTTCGGAAATGTATTGTTCAGTTTATTTTATAAGATAAAATTTATTTTAATAATAACCCAATAAAATAACATATCTACCATTATACGATAAATTTTGATGGCGTTTACAATAATAATTATAAATTATTCGTTTATTATAATTAAATTAAAATTTGTGATACCTACCATTATAAATTGAAGCATCATACATCACCAACAAAATTCCGTATTAATACAAAACCAAATCAATTAAATTTTGTGTTAGTAATTGTTTCAGTTGTAGATCATCAATGGCTGGTTAATTCTTACCTTTTTAAAAATATATATATATATATGTATTCGTATTTGTTACGTACATTGTGTTTATTTTGGGATTTATGTTTGTTTTTTGTTTTTACATACAAATCAAATTTAATTAGAGAATTAAATTCAAGCAAAAATGATTGGAAAATCAAAGTACGTGTTTCTCGCCTGTTTGACGTACTGAATTTTCGCAAACAAGATAGCTTAATAAGTTTGGATATGGTCCTATTGGACGAGGAGATATTTCTTATAAAATATTAACCTCTATTAAATTTTTAATTGAACCTCTTTAGTTTTTATTATAACTAATTAACTTAATTTCTTATTTTAATTACAGGTTGATTACATTCACGCCTTAATCAAATCCAACTTTGTTCAACCCTTTCGTTCGAAATTGATTGAAGGAAAAGTTTACACCATTAGATACTTTTAAGTCGTTCCAAATAAAAATCAATATCGCATTGTCAGTGACAACAAAATAACGATTCAATTTTTTCAAAACACTGTTGTCCGAGCTATTGGAGATGATGAAAAAATACCAATGCATAGATTTGATTTTATACAATTACATTCTTTAGATCAATTTCGCAACAATTATTCACTTCCCGGTAAATATATTGGTTTATTTTATCTAAATGTATAGGTTGTTTTATATCAATTTTATTTTTTCTAATATTTCAGTGTTGTATTTTTATAGTTTTGTATTTTTATATTAGACATATGTAGTAGGTATGGTTGTAAACGAAATTGGTGATTCTATCGAAATAGAAGATAAATGGTATGTATGTTTTTTTTAAATGTTGTATTTTTATATTAGACGTAGCAGGTATGGTTGTAAACGAAATTGGTGATTCTATCAAAATAGAAGATAAATGGTATGTATGTTTTTTTTTTAAAAAAAAAAAAATTATTTTTAAATAATTCTTCTTATGTATATTTATTTTATGTGTATCTAATATTTTTTTTGTAATTAGGGGGAAACAAGTTCAAATTAAGCTTTGGAATAAAGTTTTTACTGAGTATACAAAACAAAAAAAACCAACTCAATGATTTCACTAAACCTTTTGCTATTATAATAACTAAAGAGAAAAAACCACCAAACAACCTAAAACTATGAAGACAAAGCTTTAAAACTGGTAGTTATTTAGCTTCTAATCGTCATTTAGGGGTTTATTTGGTCAAATTTGACCATAACATCGCTGACGATTTTGACACGGGTTGACTTGGTGGTCGGAGAAGACAGATAGAAGTTTTGTGGTGGCCGAAGAAGAGAGACAGGAGTTTCGTGGTGGCCGGAGAAGTTTGGTAGCGGTGCACGGAATCCGGAGGGACCAGTGGTGGTGGTGGTTGTTGGTGAAGTTTGAGGGAGGGGAGAGAAAGATGAATAAGGGAATGTCTGGAAGATTTTTTTTTTCTTTTGATTGTTGAATTGGTGATTGAATGGTGGTAGTTGGGGGAGGTTGACTTAGTTTGAGGTTAATTGATTTATGTTTGTAATTTAATCAAGTCTCATTTAGTCTTTTAATTTTGATTTGGAAACTATAAGAAAGGGTAATATAATAATATCATACAAAAAAATTTACTAGAGGAAAGTTTTTGCATTGGTTTGTTGCACTTAAAGTGTAGCATCCGTTACAGAGGTTGGAGGTAGTATATTTTTTTTTACAGAAGAAAAGGGTAGCTTTTTCATTTACAAGTATGCATTTAAGTTGGAACATATAATTTAAAATTAGGGATAAATTTATTACCATTAATTTGTTAGTGTGTTACTGCCGATAATTCTTAATTGATGTACACGGAAATATGGATTGGATTAGGATTAGCTATACTTTAATACATGTGTAAGTACTTGGAACATATACTGGTGGTACTAAAGAAATAGTTAGAGTCAAATAAACCTATTTAATTTTTAATTAATTATTTTGTCGGATTAAAACACGAGAGCATATTTTTAAGTAAATTAATTAAAATAATCAATACAAGTGTATCCTTAAAAAAAAATCCAAACAAATTAATAATAAAAATAATAATAGTAATAATAATAATATTACAAAAAATAATAAAAAAAATATATAAACTAACCCGTGCATCGCACGGGCTTCACACCTAGTAAAGTAATAACTTCGGCCTTGGTAATTTTTAATTTCTTACTTCACCCCTGGCAATAACATATACTTATAGGTGCTAGGTCAATAATCACTCGGTTTCATTCATTATACCATACGTGATACGTCTGTGTGTATACTCTCATTATGATGGATTATATGTAACTACTAACCACCCAATAAACTCTAAGGTTGGACATCTGAATTAAATAAAAATACAGAATACGAAATATGGTTGTAATATTTGCGAGAGTATTAGATTGTTACAGTCGTTCGTTTGAGATTGTGCATTGATGTCTAAAAGATGGTGCAACGACTTGTGATTAGAAATTTGCCACCATGTTGTACTGATTTTGACGCTCGATTATTAATTTGCAACCATACTGTACCTATCGATACTGATGCAATCAACATATCCTAGGATTCCGAGTTGTAATTTTTACCATACACAAATTTTGAGTATAGTTTAGTTTAATACAATTATGGCTTACTTGTATAATTCGTACTCGTATTTGATTATGGTATAATTTTCTTAAGAGAAAATTTATAAATGTATGTTCTTAAATGGACTAGCACACTTGTCATTAGCTTAGACATGCATTATGTTTTCCTCTAGAAAGTTCAATAATTACAATGTAAATAACTAAATAACATTATGCATTCATGCTTTCTGCTCCGATTAATTTAAAAGATATATACATTTGATCCCCACGTGTCTAAAAGTTTTTAAGATAAAAAGAATGATTGATTGAGGACTATAATTACCAAGAACTCTTCAACTCTAACACGATTTAATAATAGAAACTTAAATAAATAAAATTTCAAAAGAAAAGAATGAAATATGGAATACCAGTTGAAATTTATACAGAGATAAATATAACTGAGTAATCAATTATTAAGTCTGAAATAATAAATACACAAAAAAAATCACTGTCCAAAACCTAAAATCATAAAACACCCCTGATTAATATAAAAAGGGGACCTCTAAAAAAAAAAGTAGAGATAAAGATAATCACACACATGTACCACTATGCCTCCACATAAAATCATAACTCAAAAAACCAAAAATAAAATAAACACTAATATCAATAATGGAGAAAATGACCCAAAAGTAATTAACATAACTTAATTAAACCACATAACTAAACCAGCTAACACTGATAATAAACCCACACTCATTGAAACGCCGCCCCTCACAGCAGCGTTTTTCTTTGATTCCGATGGGGATGGGGCGTTTAGATCAGACGGGTTCCCACCCGCACCTCCCGGTCCAGATGCTGGTACCGAACCTGGGCCGGATGCTGGAGCTGTACCCGGCTCTGACCCTGGTGGTGCCGGTGGCGATGCAACACCGCCTTCCGGAGACATGCTTGGTCCACTGGCGGTCGTCGGAGAAACTGCCGGACCTGTTGGGGTTCCAGATGATGGTGACATGGCAGGACCTGAGGTGCCAGGTGTACCAGAGGATGGTGACATGGCAGGACCTGAAGTGCCAGGTGTACCAGAGGATGGTGACATGGCAGGACCTGAAGTGCCAGGTGTACCGGATGAAGGTGATGTGGCTGGACCAGAAGCGCCAGGCGTGCTAGATGAAGGTGACGTGGCTGGACCAGAAGTGCCAGGTGTACCGGATGGTGGTGACATGGCTGGGCCAGAAGTGCCAGGTGTCCCGGATGAAGGTGAGGTGGCTGGACCTGAGGTGCCAGGTGTCCCGGATGGTGGTGACATAGCTGGGCCAGAAGTGCCAGGTGTCCCGGATGATGGTGAGGTGGCTGGACCTGAGGTGCCAGGTGTCCCGGATGGTGGTGACATGGCTGGACCTGAGGTGCCAGGTGTACCGGATGGCGGTGACATGGCTGGACCAGATGCGCCAGGTGTACCGGATGGTGGTGACATGGCTGGACCAGATGCGCCAGGTGTACCGGATGGTGGTGACATGGCTGGACCAGATGCGCCAGGTGTACCGGATGGTGGTGACATAGCTGGACCAGATGCACCAGGTGTACCGGATGGTGGTGACATGGCTGGGCCGCCAGCTCCACCGCCACCACCGCCCCCATGGTGGCTGGATCCGGGAGTGCCTGCGGGAGGTTGTGTAGTAGGAGAACCGGGGGAGGCACCAGGAGTCGACGGAGGCTTGGTGGAAGGTGGTTTAGAAGGATATGATAAGACTTTCACAATGATCTTTTGGCCTTGTTGACAATTAGTTTTGTTACCACTTATGAAGTAAAATGGTCCTGAATGATTCAACTCAAATTCCGACTCGCCATCTTGCATCTTTTGTATAGGGTGATCAGTGTTACAACTATCATAATCTTCTTTACTCACTTCCAACACTGAATCCGTTGCTTTGTTATACCTAAACACTACCAATTAATCAACAACCAAATAACAATTAGCTTAACACAACTATAGTCCATACGAGTACATAATACGAGTACACAACATCATCTAATCAATTAATCAAATCAAACATGTCACGTAGTCACCACAAAATATATATGTACTTTTTTATATTTTAAGTGAAGGTGTGATGTTATAAATTAAACTCGATCGAACTAATTAAAAAAAATATATATTAAAAAGTCGAAACAGGAAGAACTTACAAACAGTATCATGAACAAGAAACCGATTGGAACCAGCCCACTGATTATAATCCTGAGCAGGGTGAGGAACCCAACCTTGCCTACCATTAACATAATGCCTAATAGGGCGTTGATTCATAGCATCGGAACAACCCGAAAAGGCAAAGACGATAAAGAGAACACCCAAAAGCTTAAGAGAAGCCATGGGTGAAGATAGAAGAAAAAAGTTGGAAAATAATGAGTGGAGAAGAAAAATGATACGAAACAGTAAAGCTAATAATGGAGGAAGAAGGATAAAGGTGGAGGTGTTTATATATAGGAGTGGAGAGACTAGAAGGTTCAAAGGGAATTGAAGTATAATAGGGTGTACTATATTATGTAGGACACTATGACTTTACTATATGTAAATCAAGATTTTATTATGTAACCAATTTATATAAGGTAGGAATTATTTGGTCAATAAATTATAAAGGTGGAAGAATAAGGTGAATTGTGGAAGAAATAAATGTAAACGAGAGCGTTTTTTTTTTTTTTTTTAGGAAATGTGAATGAGAGCTTGATTAAGAGAGATTAGTACAAGAAAAATAAGGGGATTTAGAATAGAGTAATATAATGAGTTGTCTTTATCATGGTGTAATGGAATTGAGTGAGAGACGTGATTAACTTCAAGACTTCAGTGTGGATTTTTTTTTAAATTTTGTGGTGATATAAAACGTGTAATTTTTGGTGTACAAAATAGGAGGTAATATTAGTACTTGATTTTTCTTTTTAATCTAGTACGGAGTTAGACTTCAAGAAATAAATTATATGGATATAAATGAGCTTTTTTTTTTTGTGTACTTTCTTCATTTTTTTTAAGACCATTATTTTTGTACTCTAAAGCACACAATAGTTTTTTTTTGTATAACATACAAGTGTTATATATTGAAGTAACTTTTTAACAACTTTAAAGTAACTTTTAATATGTTTTGATTATCTTTATACATTAGAAAATAAAAAGTTTAGATGTAATTTTTTTAAATGGTTAATATTGAAGATACTTCTATACATGCTTCAAAAAAAAAAAAAAAAAAAAAAGAAAGAGAGAGAGAGACTTCTATACATTAGGGGTAAATCATTTGTAAAATAGAGCAACTTTAATTAAAAAAAAAAAGAGGTGACTTTTATATTGAAGAGACTTTCAGTTGTTGATAACTCGTGTACAAAGTATTTTCTTACAATGTTGAGTCGACAACTTTCAAAGTATTTTCTTACTCGTATTATATTTAGTGTACATATGACTTATTTAGAAGTTTTGTTACTTCGATTTTTAGTTGCAAAATACTATGACAATTGCTAAAGCACAAATGTGCAATTTTAATTGTTACACCAATTGTAGGCGTCGCTCGAAGTGTGCCTACGTTAAAGCATGTTGTGAATATGCTTGGCACTCATAGGAAGTGGGAATTGACATTACGATTAGGGACAAATAAAGTAGGGAGCCGCCAACAAGTTTTTAAGGAACTTGTAAACCGTTCACGGATCATAAAAAGACAACCACGATAAAGGGACAACGAAGGCAACAACGATTGACCCGTGAAGGTTACACCCCATTCATAATCCATGAGATTACTAACTCCATATGGTTCAGAACCACGAAAGGAGGATCGGGGATGATGGTACGAAGTGAGTCATGGAGTCACATTCGCCCGTATTGGCCTCTACTCGATTCTTATAGTGAAAAGCATTCCTGTGATCTCAAAGGCATACAAACAAAATATTCAATTTGCTCCAAACTATCATTTAACTAAATTGGTTGAATATTAATGCACACATAATTCTAAAATATTGGTGATCACTTCAATTAATAACAAGATTAAAAAGGATCCTAAACCGGTTGTCCAAATTATCTTATTAGGCGTGATTTTCAATTACATATTTCCTTTAACATGCAATATGGTGATCAATAACAATAATAGAATAAACATTAATATTGAAAGCAATTTAATCACAATTCCAACAACATAAAATCGTTAGAAAAATAATAGAAATAAAAGGAACATGATCCTTACTTTGTTTCTGTTTGTTTACAACTACAAAATAATAAACGAGTTAGTAACTTCAAGGAAATAATAAAACGATGATTAAATTAAATTAAATAAAGTAGAGTTGATTTGGGGCCAAACCCTCAAACAGTTCTACCTTTCACGCTTTGGCTTAAGGACAGAACCACGAGTAAAGTATGGACTCCTTTGAGTACTTGAAGAAGGAATTTTGAAGTAGAAAAGGGGTAGGCTAGTGTTTAGGCTAAAGCATAGAAGAGAGAAAAAATAAATCAGAGAATTACTCGGTGCCCCGTACATCATAAATGGGGGGGGGGTATTTATAGGGAAAATGTGCTGAGGGAGCACACGGAACCCTAAAATGATAAAAACCCTAAAAAAGTATCCCGTGACACGGCAAACTGTACCGTGACACGGGAAGTCCCACCGTCAGACGGCACACTTTCCCGTGTCACGGTACATTTTTGGAGTGACGCGGGAAATTTTCAGAAAACGGGATAGAAAACGCGTCAAGGGTTTACGCGGAAAAGACACGGAATGTCCCGTGTCACGGCAAAATTCCCGTGTCACGGGAAATCCCACCGTCAGACGGAAAGGATTCCCGTGACACGGTGGGTACCTGCCGTGGCGCGGGAATTTCCAGCCTATTTTTCCGTCTAAATACATTTTTAACCCTAATTTCATTCGGCATTTTAAGTGCCGATTGATAATTTCGGGCCTTTTCTGACTTATTATTATTTGGGCTAAAATAAGAAAATAATTAAATAAAAATAAATAAAAGGTTTGGGCCAAAATTAAATAATAAAACAATAAAATAAAAAAGGTTTGGGCTAAAATTAAATAATAAGTTTGGGCTGAAATTAAAACCATGCTTTTACCAAACAACAAGACTAATTCATGGACTGTTCAAAAGTATGAATTTAATCAAATACGATTTTTTAAGCACTCTCGGGATTAAATACTAAACCCGACCAATAGTGGCGGTGAAAGGTTGTTCATCATCGGGTTTGGTTTTGGGGAGACATTTTTAGGTGTCTACACCAATTTATTAAAAAGTATAAAAATTGAAGATATATATTGAGAGACATAAGACTAATCCAACAATGTTGTTTTACTCATAAGAGCTAAACTTACATTTGCATTGTGTTGCTATTACTTATACCATTTTTGAATTTTTATATTTATTACACGGTCTATCTGAACTATAATCTTTTTACATTATACTTAGTGGTAAAATTAATATTCATTTGTAATGTCGTACACTACGCGTACATGTGTTTCAATGTGTACTTACATTATATTACTGTATCTTTTTATTGCACCAAAAAACAACATTATACGGAGTATTATCTTTTTTTAATATATCGATGATTAGGGATATTTTTGGTTAAAATTATTCGTTGACTAGTACGAATTGAAAGCATTGCGACTTAAAAAGGGAGTTATTATAAGAAAAGATTAAGGATACTCAATGAAGAAAATGCATGAGTTGTCAACTTGTCATTTTCGTTGTGGAAAGAATCGAGTGTGAGACGTGGCTAATGCTAAGACTTGAGAAAGTTCAAACTTTTTATAGTATAGTAGTAGAAAGCGTGTACTTTGGTGTAAGAGTACAAAAAACTCGTAAAATACGAAGTAGGAAGTAGTGGCAAAGGGGGAATTGACTTAGGGCCTGTTCTGTTCCGTTGAAATTCAGTTCAGTTCAGTTCAGTTCAGTTCAGCTCAGTTCAGTCCAGTTCAGTTCAGTTCAGTTCAGCTCAGCTCTTAATTTATGTCTAATGATATTGCTAATGATATAAAGCCAAATTTCATTCTTTTAACATCTTATTACAACGACAACAACAGCAAAAATAATAATAATAAATAGTATATAAAAATAATAATAATAATAATAATAATAATATTAACAATAATAATAATAATAACAATAATAATTGAAATAATAATAATAATACTAACAATAATAATCAATAAATAATAATAATCATCAATAAATAATAATAATAATAACAATAATAATACTATAATAATACTAATAATAATAATCAATAAATAATAATAATAATTATCAATAATTAATAATAATAATAATAACAATAATAATATTGATACAATTCATTGTTCAAATGGTTCTATTTTTTTGAAACATATTTCTAATGTTAATCTCATTGAGAAAATTAGAGGTTTCAAGTTTTTAATATATTTTCCATACATTTTATAATATATTTTCCATACATTTTATAATTATAATTATATAGTATATTTTTCGTAAATATTTTAATATGTACATTTGTATATACACATATGTATAGTAATAAATATCAATAAATAATCAAAAATCACTAATTAATAAGTTCAGTTCAGTTCAGTTCAGTTCAGCTCGGTTCAGTTCAGTTCAGTTCAGTTCAGTTCAGTTCAGTTCAGCTCGGTTCAGTTCAGTTCAGTTCAGTTCAGTCAATCGGAACAGGCCCTTAGTGACTTATACTCTTGGGTGGAATTGACTTAACAGAGATGTTTGTCCGATAGAGCTCTTCTTCTTTATCAATTCAAATATTTTTTTTTTTAAAAAAACTTTAATACTCCCTCCATTTATTTTTACTCGCAACAAATTAGTAGTTTGCGGACTCCTAGGCAAAAGATGGTAAGTGTAATTAACAAAAAATAAGGGCATGTGTTTAGTATTTATCCAACCCCCACCCCCCCCCAAAAAAAACAAAAAAAAATCAAATACAGCCACCTATCACCAGCAACAACACCACCACCTAGCAGCACCGCCCTCGATTTCGACCCAGCACCACCTCCGATTTCACCCACAACCACGCCTTCGACCTTGACCCAGCACCACCCCCGATTTCGCCCAGAACCACGCCTTCGACCCAAACCCAGCACCACCCCCGAGTTCGCCCAGAACCACGCCTTCGACCCAAACCCAGCACCACCCCCGAGTTCACCCAGAACCACGCCTTCGACCTAGACCCGGCACCACCCCGAGTTCGCCCAGAATTACGCCTTCGACCCAGACCCAGCACCATCCCCGATTTTGCCCACAACCCTGATTTCAATCCACCACCTATTTCGTCCATAACCCACCACCGATTTCGACCCGCAAAACGCAACACCTATTTCGACCCACCACCGATTTCGATCAACAAAACCCACAAATCCCACAATGAGGAAGGCGGCGACAAGGAAGAAAAGAAAAGAAAACGAAATAAAGAAAGGAAGGCGGTGACAACGAGGGGAGATCGGTGAAGAAAGAGAGAGAAATTCTGGGTATGGTGGTGGTGGCGGTGATGGTAGTGGTGGTGGTTGACAATTGAAAGTGAGGATGAATTTAATTGGGAGGGGAATGGTTTTGGTGGAAATGATTAAGTTAATTAATGTAGAGTTTAAGTTAATGAGGTAAAATCAGTAGTTTAATTAGGGTGTTTAAAAACAAAAGTACGTAAGGGTAATTTTATAAAAACATACAAAAAATACTATAAAAGGAAAGAAAATAGTTTGTTGCAAGTAATGTGTATTGTATTTGTTGCGAGTAAAAAGAAATGGAGGAAGTATGTGGTTAGCCACAGTATATAGTGTGGCAAACTATCATAGGAGTTACTTCGTTAATATTATAGGAGTTACTCGTTTAATACTTAATATTAAAGTGGTTAGCAGCAAATATTCTTTTTTTTTCCTCTCTCTTCCAAACTCTTTGTTCTTTCTCCTCCTCCTAGCAAAGCTCCTGTTGGAAACCTAGGGTCTCGTCAGAGTTCCGGCGCCACGACCAGTTCTCCGACGAGTACCCCCGTAACTTTCCTTTAGTTTGTGGGAGAATCTTCCCTGATTTAGATTTTTTCCCATCAGCAAGATTGATCCCAGCAACAAAGAGTTTCAACAAAAGCTCAAGGAGGTGACCTCTAGATTATGTTGGTCTCAAAATTTTGTTGATGATGCACTTGTGGTTACAAGTTACAATAGAGGATGAGAGGTTTAAAGACTTTGCTTCGTATGGGAAGGAAGAAGAAAAAAGAAAGTTAGGAAAGAAGGGGAAAAAGAAAGAAGGAGATGGTCATGAATATGGGTGTGTTCAACTGTTCATAGATGTATTGGTGTAATAGATGAAACCAAAGTGGGAAAAAATGTTGTTCGAAAATCTTTGGATTTGGAAGGTAAGGTGAACCCTTATGATCAAGATGAAAGGCCCAACGTTATTGCTGTTTTGAAGTCAACTTTAGAAGAAAAAAAAATCAAATCTTACAGGCTCAAGTTATCGGTTTTCGAACCGAAAACGAATTGATTCCTATCTGCATCTCACCCCGACAATGTATGGGGCGGTTTCAAGGGATGAACACTATGGTACTATTGTTCTTTCCGAAAGAATTTTTTTAGCATTCGAGTACTTGATCCTCCAAAGAAGAAGGATTGTGTTGAAACTCAAGAAGTTTCTACACCAATGGAGATTAGTAATCCCCCCTTTGAAAGGCATGATAGGTGTGAAATAACTCCAATCTTGATGCAAGATGATCCGACCATAAGTATAGTCACTCATGCGTCATCATGTGAAAGTATGTCGATGCTCCTTTTAGATGCACCAGCCTGTCCCAGTTAAAGTCTACTACAAACCCTAAAATGTGCTCCTCTCAGACATCGAAGATATTTGTCTCCTCCCTCCGTTCCAAAATTAGAAGGAAACCCGTTTGTCAAAGACGTAAATTAAAACTCCCTCTAGTATTACTAACTCCTTTGTTTTGCAGGATGAGTGGCTCTAAAAGAAAAGCATCTTGTTCCTCCGAAAGCATTTGTTTCCCCAATAGAAAAAGATTGTATGGTCCAACCCCTAGCGCTTTAGTGTGTAATTTGTTTTATGATTAATATAATGTTTTTTTCGATGTAACAAAAATATTATAGTGGTTACTTCATCAGTATCAAAGTAGGAGTTACTCGGTTAATATTGTAGTGTTTACTCGGTCAGTGTATTAGCAAACGATCACATAAAGTGGTTAGCCGCACAAAAAAATTGCTGAAATATTATTTAAAAAAGAAAATGGATTTGGCATGCCTTTTTTTTTTTTTTTTTTTTTTAAAAAAAAAAAAAAATTGTATTTTAAAATTCACTTTTCATTGATAAATACTTCAGTATGAGGTATTTTTTAACATACAAAATAAGGCATTTTAAATATATTTTTTATGTTTTTGGCATGGAAATCAAAGAATTTTTTTAATAAACGTTTGATTACCAGTGGAGGAGGAGAATTCAAACGTACAACCTATAGTACACAGGCTTGTAGTCTTTGTTGTTAACTTTATTAATTACGGAGTAGATTCTCATCAAAAAAAAAAATTTACGGAGTAGATTAATTAATGTATAATAAAGAAGTACTCCATATAAGAATAATGTCTATTGAATATTTTTCAGAAGATATGGCAAATAAAATTAAACATAAGGTTACTATTAAAAAAAAAAAATTTGAAAAATGTAAACATAAGGTTTTAAAGGGAAAAAATTTTGATGGGTCTGATTTCCAAAATATTTGGCATCATTTTGTCAATCATATTCAGTTTATCATTTCTCCTTTGTTAGGTCTTAAAGCGGAAGACATCATAAGGGCCCAAATAAAGAAGACTAATGGCCACATGAAAATACAACTTAAGAAAATAGCCATTTTATATAACTGGGCTTTTTTTCCAAGTAGGAGGAAATGCCATTCCTTATCTGACTTTTTAATCTCAAACTAGTGTGTAGTTCTGATGTTGCACCGAGTTTTTATTTTAATTATTCCTTGTGATTATATGTATTTGATATTTATAATGTTTTTTTTTCTTAATTAGACCTTGTGATATCAATTATATATATTTATTTTCATGTTTATAACATAGTTATAAGAGGTTGGGTGTTTAAATCCCCTTATCATCATCTTTTTATATGAAGCAATATTGGGTGACGTGTTATAATGATTCAGGTTGATTGAGTAGTGATGATGTGGCATAATGAGAGATGGAGTAGGTGACGTGGCGTGGTCTACGTGGCACATAGACGCTCTTAGTAACGCCTTTTAATAGATTAGTATACTACGTAGATAGATAGATAGATAGATATATTCTCAATTGTATATTTGTATGTCTATAATTACTTAAAAGTTAAAACATGTATATTGTACAATTATGGATATCTGTCCATCAGTAGCATCTTTGCTTACTGTCAGACCATAAGAAACATTCAACCATTTCCAGCAAAGTTCAGTTAGGCTCCTAGCATGGTTAAGGGCACTCGGCACCCAGAGCCGGTACCCCGAGCTAAGGGTGTTCTCCAGTGTAAGTAGGTCTATGAAATCAAAATCCAGTAAGGTTCTCAACTTTGAGCGATTTCAGGAGCAAAAATACTACTTCACCATGTATTTATGGGGTATCCACAGCAAAATTAATGGACAGTGTAAGCATTTACGCCACTTATGAGAACCGTATAAGGGTCAACTTTAAGGGTAACGAGGTTGGACTTTTATGTATAAACTATGATGATAGGGATTATGATTGGTATACTCATATGTATTTACTCCTAAATGAGTACACTACGCAGCTAACAATGAGCTGAGCATAGTCTGCCATCCTGCTCATTGCTCAGCCTCTTAAATATCGTAGTACAGGCAGTACATTATATATGCGCTATCATAATGGTCCTTTTATCTAATCCCATATCAATCTTTCCAAGAATCCTTTTATTTTGATAAAAAATTTCCAAGAACCCTTGTATAACTGATTCATCAGACTTCAAAATTCAATACAAAAACTTGGAGCAAAACTCTGCATTAAACTTATCCCCATAATTTTACTACAATTGTGAGAGCATCTATTTAATACCATAATGTTCCTACCATACCTATAATGGTTAGACTAGAACTGCATTTCCATTGTTGTCAGGAGAGAGCTCAAGCGTTGTCCATTTCTTGAGTCGAGTAATCAGATAAAGTGAACTAGATTGTGCAAAGAGGCCACATATCAAACCGATCCAAAGACCCTAGATCACAAATTTGTGCCAAATTGAATAGGGTTAGTGCAGGAAGATTATAAGAAAGCTGTTCAATCAGTAAGGTAAACAGGCAAAAGTAGACAAGTAGTCACAATAAGAAGTATAGAGTGCGAGTATTAGGAGGATTACCTTGACATTAAAATCAAACTGGAAGGCAAGTAAGCATGCAATGGGCATTCCAATAAGATAAAATGTTCCCAAATTTATGAACATAGCCAAGTGCTGAAAACCACATCCCCTGCATACCCCTGTTTCGCGGCCAAGAACAGCACAATAGATCATTAACTACAGTTGGAGAAGATATCGTAATGACAGTGAAAAGAAATGATGACTTTAGATATTATCAGACCTGATAATACGCCTTGAATAAAATCAAAGAATATTGAAATGCAAACTAGAGGAGTCATGGTAGCATATGCTTTAATTATAAAAGTGCTGCCACTGAAGAAGCCTGCCCAAATGTTATGTCCCAAGGCTAGACCAAGAATAACAAGGCTGGCTAGGAGAACTGACAGCTTCAATGTAACTCGCATTGCATGCTTTGCTTCATTCGCGTTGCCTGCTCCAAGCTCATTTGAAACTCTTGTGCTATCATGAGGAAGATAAGCTATAAAGATTATGATAAACTTTTGAATAATTCAAAGATTTAAAGGTATTCAAGTGTTGCATTAATACCTTCCTGCAGCACTCAGTCCATAAGCAAACATGTAAGCAATTGCTTCTGTATTAACACTGTTTAGTGTTAAGACAAAGATATGAGATTCACACATAAATCAAATTCAACCAACATTTTTCATTGGAATACAATCAAGAAAAATAGAAGTTAACCCTACCATATTGCAATGAGAGAAGTCGTTGCTTCAGAATTTGGCATAACGCCAGCCAAGAACACCAAAATCTCAAACGCCCAATACTCTAAACTGAGAAATCCAAAAAATATGTCAGAACTCAGAAGCAGTAAAATATATACAAACCAGTTTGATCAATCACATATTTAAAATGTGGTTAATGTAGGAGAACATAATGTACGTACTTACCAAACCATAGCAGCAGAAGGCAATGCCAATTTCAAGTTGGCCAAGACATAGCAAAATGATTCTTTCGATAACCCTCTCCAAGTATGCTCAAACTTTTTAGCACAGCTCACATACATCAGCATAATCAAAACCGATAACCAAAATGACATAGAGGTAGCCAATGGCGCTCCCTTATAACCAAGGGACGTGCAATAAACAAACCAATAGCTAAGGCCACAATGCAAGATCAATGGCACAAGTGAGAATACAATCAAGGGTAAAACCACAGATTGTGTCTGAAGGAATCTTAAAATGTTTTGCAGAATACCATACGCGAATATTCCTGGTATAAGAAATCTCATGTAGACTGCTGCTTCTCTCGAAATTTCAGGGCTTTGATAGAGGAAAATTAAAATGGGTTCGGTAAACCACCATAGTATGGATATAAGTATGGAGAAAAAGATTGAAACGATACATGATGCTTGAAGATAAATCCCTAGCATTTCATACAGTTTTGCTCCAAATCCTTGACCACATAATGTCTCCAATGCACCACTTAGTCCAATCTACAATCACAAAGTTGACATCTAAGTTAACATTTTTATTTTTTTTGAAACCCATCTAAGTTAACATTTATTAAGTACATATATCCCACAGCCGGAGATTCTAGTCGGAAAACTTGATAGGGTAGCGATACTCAAACTTGTTATGTTTTGGTAGTAGTTTTTTCAAAAAAAAAAGATTTAAATGGTAGTTGTTCTCAAAACTCGTCATTTATATAGTAGGTCTTCGCAAAATTTCCTATTGTAAATTATCTAATGTATGTTCTAAATACTAAGATAAGAAGTAATTTCTATTGTGAATTTGTGATTGTTTTTAAGTGAATACAACGACAACAACAAAGCTTTATTCCTAAAGAAGTTTTAAGCCAAAGCCAGCATAGCCAACATTAAGCATACATTGCATCAATCCATAAGGTTACTAAGTATTAAGTATATGTATTTGAGTTGGTTGCTTATTTACCTAAGCAAACTAATATCAAACTAAAAATGATTGCATTATTGGTAATCAACCAAAAAAGAATTCAATGATGAAAATTACTGCATATAAACTACTCCACCCTTTCAAATTTTATCATTCAATATTCATCACATTGGTTTCAACCCTCATATAATTAAACTTACAATAATTTCTCTAAAACACCCTTATCATTGTTCTCGAATGTACCAATAAATTGATTTTAGCACACTTTTATGAAAGCACAATTTTTTATGCTCTCTCCAGGTGTGCCAAATAAGACAAAACTACCCCTCATTTTAATATAACCTAATCTTTAAGAGACAAAGGGAGTATTACACTAAGCATATAAATCAGAAAAAACAGAGGAAGAAAAGAGAGACAAACCATGAAAGCAAAACAAGTAACAGTAGCCCAAGAATTAGCAAGTGTAGAACCAGCAAGTTGAAGTTGACCAATATGACCAGCAAACATAACCGAAGTAATCGGAATTAGATAATAAAACACATTGGTTAATATCATTGGAAGTGAAAATAATATTTGATCTTTTGCCTCCTTCACATCCACCACTTTTGCCAACCATCTCGCTCCGCCGCCATCTCCTCCGCCGCCTTCAGCCGCTAACAGCGGCGTTGCAGTTATTGCACGCTCGGTTTTAGTCCTCATATTAATTTGCTTCGTATATTATTTGTTGTAACTTGTAAAAGAATTTAATTGTGGGTTTAATTTGAGCCGCCCATGCAAATGGTTTTAATGCTATCGACTTATATACTTGGTGTTGGTGCGAGTGAGGGATAATTCAAGTGGTTAAAGCTCTCCTTTCGATTATAAAAGATAATGGGATCGATTTTAAACCCTAAAAATTTACTCCCTCCGTGTGTTTTTTAAGTGTTACACTTATTAAATCCGACTATATTTTAATAAGTGTTACACTTCTTTTTTTTTGGCAAAAGAATACAGTAAAATATTATATCTGTCTCGGTCCCCACCAAACCCACTACCACTTTTTATATTATATATATCTCTCCTCTTACATTCATTACTTTTAAATAAACTATTAACCCTATTATCTTTCTTTTACAATTTTTTAATACGCCAACTATTCCACTTACCTTCTATTTTAATAAGGCAATTAAATTGCCTAAAACTATGTACATATCAAACTATAACACTTAAAAAAAACACGGAGGAAGTATATACTTTCTGACTTTCTATATTTCTTAATGGTCCCTAAATAAAATAAAAAATGTCACAATGTTACGCTTTGATATTTTTCGAGGGAGTTCCTCCCATTTATTACCTTTCACAATTTTATGCATTGATTTGTGGACTACTTTATTATTTTTCATTTATCTTTTAAAAAATAAAAGAAAATAATTAGATTATGAGAAGAGATATATTTACAAATTTATCTAAGAGATGAATTTGAATTTACCCATATTTTTCTTATACAAATATATTACTAACAAACAATAAAAAAAAAACCAGAAGGAATATGACTGTATGAGTCATAGGTGTGAATAAGGGCCACGTGTTAACTGATGTTTGTTAGAAGAGTCAATAAATAATGGGGTTGGTTTGAAAATTAATAGGTAGGGTATTCGTGCAATTTATATATTCATATATAAATTAATGTTCTTTTAAGGTGAATGCAGAAAATGTTTTGACTATTTAATCAGTATATATAAAAAAAATATTAACGTAATTGTAAAACAATTATATACGGTCATACGGAGCAATTAATTAATTAGCCATGTAGTCCTGTATAATATGGAGTAATAGTTTGTTTTATATTAGAGGCTGTGTCAAGAAGTGGGAACATATCATATCACTAATACGTAGTATATAAAGTCGGTCTCGCAGTCAGGCCATGAGATAACGACACCCGTGTACTGTACACCCGAGTGTATGTAACAAACTTTAAAGGAACTAGGTTAGATCTCGTGCCATGCACGGTGATCTTTATATATAGTTACTCCCTCCATCCCTTTTTGATAGTCCATTACTCCCTTATGGTCATTTTTCACGGGAATTAATAAACACAAACAAGAATAGTTAAAGTACATTGAAAAAATAAATTGACATTGGGTATTTGGGTATGCAAAAAAGTAGAGAGAGAAAGTAATAAAAGTACATCGGAAAACATGGAAAAGTTAAATTTGCACATATATTGTTGCAAATTGGAGGGAATTTTGATAAAAAAAAATTAATATTAATGGTTGTTGGAAAAAACAAATGGGGTGGACATTTTGGGACTAAAATTTGTCCATAAGGGACTATCAAAAGAGGACGGAGGGAGTATATATTATTGATTAAGAAATATTATAATCATAAATTAGTCAAGAAATAATAAAAGTATGTGATATGTTAATTTGATATTTGCAATTTTAATTGTAGCTTCCAATGCACAGCTAAAACAAAGTAGGCAAAAAATCTGAGCAATATTTTTTTTGGTATATATTGCCCATTTTTTTTTAGAATGATTTGTGAATAAATCTTTTATTTTAAATATAATAATTATTACGTGGCAATATGGAATATGTACAAAAAAAAAATGATTTTTGTAAATGATTTGTTTCCTTAATTATTTTTTTTTTTAAAATGAAAAAAAAAAACTAAGGACACATCAGGAGATGACACGTGTCACCGTCGATGTGTCTTTTAGTATATAATTATTGGCCCGGGTGATGCACCGGGTCATTATAAATTTATTACTTTAATTGAACTATATATATTTTGGCTTGTTTTTCATTGAGAGCTTAAGTGGTGGTTTTATTTATTTAATATGATAGCTTAAGTAGTTTGTTGCTTGTATGAATTGGTTTGATTATAAGAATACTTTTTTTTACATTAAAATCATAAAAATATGATAAATCAAATCTTTATAAATTTGATGTCAAAATATATACTACTCCATAATGCACAAAAATATTTTATTTTATGATTACAATTTTATGAGTTAATGCACAAAATAAAAATGGAGTAATGTTATTTCTTACTAACTTTATTATTATGTAATTATTAAGGAGTTACAATCTAAGGGAAATTGTCATGCATATGAAGAGTTTATCAATTAAACTTAACATTAATATATGAAAGTTAATGCATAGAGTTTTTCAATAATTAATGCAATGGTATGATTTGGCGACGAACACATCATATGCCAAATGGTAAAATTGTTGACACATGGCAAAACATCATGTCTTGCCATGAGTTTTAATATATAGTAGTATATTGATATTGATTTGGGGTACGTACTAGTCAGTCAATCAATCAATAATAACTAAGTATTCTATACTCTATACTAAAGTAATAAACGGTGAAGGTTCCAAAATGACACTTGTCACACTGAGGTTAAAAATTTCCCCGCCAAAAATTTTATTTTTAAAGTAAAAAAAATGTAAGTAAATTAAAAATTTGTGAACAGAAGAGTAGGAAAGATATTAATTAAGAAGATTTTGTACAAAAACGGAAAAAAAAAGCAACAATAATAAAAAAAAAGAATAAATATGTCAACTAAAAGAGAGATTATGTTAAAACAAATAAAAAGTCAATTAAAATTTTATATTTTATATTTCAAATATCTATAACAAACTCACTACAAAATATATATATATATATATATATATATATATATATATATATATATATATATACACTACGTATTACTATTACAGTACACCGGCATTACATTTTTAAATAATACTCCCAATTCATACAGAAACAATTCATACAGGAGTATATAATACGAATCAATTATAGAAACTTTTCATAAAAATAATACTCCCTCTGTTTTATTTTGTTAGTCCCATATAGAATCAATCACTAAAAATAAGAGAATGAATAATATTTGAAATCTTACATTTTAGTACAAAAATTGCTTAACTAATTCTATCTTATTAAATGTTCTGATTTTTTTCTTTGGAAAGCATTAATTACAATGCTTGTTTAATGTGAGGAATTTCAATAAAATGCCATGTCATCAATCCACTAATGGGATTGATGACCAATCAAAATATTTAATTATTGCCATGTCATCAATCCACTAATGGAATTGATGACCAATCAAAATATTTAATTATTTCCATGTCATCAATCCACTAATGGGATTAGAAATTATGAGACCGAATTACGAAAATAAATTAAAATAAAATAAGGAATACATTCAATATGGGTAGATCATTTTGAAACGTCCAAAATAGTATATGAGACTAACATTATGAAACGGAGGTGTAACAATTACAATGACAATTCAGAACCATATACCATCAACCAATTTTTTTTTCCCCTTACCATTTTGTTAGAAAAACTTGATAAAATTACGTTGATTTCATTTATTTAGAGATAATTAATAAAATTGCATAGATTACTAAAAAATGATAGGATTTTTTTTTGAAAATAAACCACAAATTTTACAAAAAATGGATTATAACACCACAAATTCTCAAACTTTAATTATAACACCACAAAAAAATAAAAAAATTGATTTCACCATCATCTAATGGATTTTTGGATGGAATCCGTTAAAGGGACCCACGATGGACACGTGTCGATAAGACATTGGTTTAAAAAAAAAAAGAAAAAATTAAAAAAAAACCCTAACCTAAACCCAGCCAACCCAACCACCAGCACCACCTTCTCCAGTTGCGCCAACGCCTAACCCAAGCTGACGACTTCACTTGCCCCCCCGAAACCCAGCGAAATTCTCCTTCCCTTCTCCCCCCTCCCCGAAAACCACCCCAACCCTGCTTAACCGCCACAAATCACCGCATACCCACCTCAATTAACCACCTACCATAGCAAACACCAACCACGAAAACCACCCTCCCTTACCTTTCACCCTCAAAACAGCCGAAATAGACCATGACAACCCTCGATTGGTCGATTTCGGCCGTCAATTTCGCAAAACTGGGGGAAATGGGTGTGAATTTCGCGGCAGATCGGGAAATGGGGGTGGATTTTGCGGCGGTTAGGGATGGTTTTTGCGGTGGTTTAGAGGGCTTAAGGTGGTTTTCGGGGAGGGAGAAGGGGCGAAATGGTGGATCGGCGGCCAAAGCGTCGGTTTCGTCGGGTTTTAATTATTGGGGTAGTGGATGCCGGCGGCAGTTGGCGGTTGAGGCAGGTGGTGCAGAGGTGGTGGGATGGCTAGGTTAGGTTTTTTTTTTAATATTTATTTAAACCACTAGACACTTGACACGTGTCTTGTACGGACCCCTGTAGTCACCCATTTGTGTCTCCCCAAAACCAAACCCAGTGATGAGTACCTTTCACATCGAATCATAATCGAATGAAGTGAAAGTGTGGAAAGTCTAAGTGTTGCGGAAAGTTTTATTTTCTTTTCTCTTCTCTCTGTTTTTGAAAACTTATTTTTAAGAAAACATCCAATCCAATTTGGTTGGTCCATGATATGGGTCCAATAGTAGTGTAGTTGGATGGGGCTTGCAAAGACCTTTCCAACGATATATTATAAGCCCAATTCCGATGAATATTGAAGAAGTTATGGCCAATTTACTAAACTGGGCCCGGTTTGAGCTTTATATACGGCCCAATGATCTAGGGGAGGGCCTAATATGATTTATCATTCCTAATGCAATTAGGAATGGTTTTAGTCTTCTAGAATCTTCTAGAAGGTTCTTTTCATTCCTAATTCAATTAGCATTGATAAATTGACTTTTGACTTTTCAGAGTTTTAATCAAAATCAGATAGCATTTTCGAGGAAATTATATGATTTTA